TAATATATTTGATAATTTGTGTTTAAGAATCAAAATTGGAAATTGCGTACGAATTACGACATTTAATGTGGAGAATGCTTTATAAGTCTACAAAAATGAAGATCTTTGTACAAATTACGGACGAATAAAATAACTAATTACATTTTACACCTTGCCCATGTCTACGAATTTACGTTTTTTATTTATTTAAATTAAATTATTACGAAAAAATAAATGACTACAACTTATGAAAAGACCCCTTACCGACCCTCTTTATTGTTAATCCGAATAACGAGCAAATAGTTGTGTACAGAAGATCAATTGATAAACAAACTTCGGTTAAATACTTATTACACTGACCTGAATAATAGTATGTACTGTTTATTGATATACAGGAAAGTAGACATTGTAATATACAATATATCATGACTGTAGGAAAGACATGGCCGGCCAGAAGAATTCATGAAACCATATTTTGCAGTTGAATCAAGAATCAAATTATTGCTTTAGAGTATCTGTGAGAACAACCACATCATGATCAAATGTAGTTCACAGGGATCAGGAGACATCCGAATTGTGATCTATTGTCATAATCACCGTAATTTGTACCAACTTGTCAATGTGAATGGAATAAAGTTGCAAACCCATGGTAATTGTGACACTAGGCATTTCACTTACACACAAAATGTCTTTCTGTTTTAGCATCAACAGAACAATAGTTGTCTTATGTTGATAATGTATCGTTCCGAGTAACACAATGCAGGTTACGTGTACCTGCACAACAATTACAATTAAAATTAGAAGACAAAATAATTTCGAGACCAGATATACTTTGCATCTTTTGTAGAGAGAATGTCATGGAAGTGCTGTGTTTGACATGTGTGCGCCTTTTACCAGAATATGAAAGAAACACATAGACCTTTTTTATATTTGAAAATACCCACATCAAACATATTTTAAGCTATCTATTCACATGCGTTCTGTAATTTGGCAACATAAATGTTCTTCGGATTTAATAAATTAAATACGGAAATAAATAATTATTATTTTTTTAATTTTCTTGTAATAAATAGCAAATCATTTATTCGTGGGGAATGGTATTCATTGCGCATGTACAATTTTCGGACGTGCTGCACTGAATACCGTATTTTTGCTAAGGAAAACATAATGATCGTTTTGTGTACTCAACTCAAAATAGCTCG